AGAAATCTTGTTATCCCGAGCATTCGTACCGTACTGCCTGTATCAGGCTGGCTAGTTGATGGGCTACCACTTTACCGGGATGTTTCCAACCAAGGTCACTAATAGACCCCACCAATTCACAAAGAATGCCAAGCCTGGTTACTTGTGCGTTCAGGGGCAAAGGGGCATCCTAGGTCTCCAGGCTTGACTTTCAACCTAACCCCGACGCTCTTCTTAGCTCCCCACTCCGTTGTGCTGAACCTATCGACCCTCCACACTGAATCCTATTTTGAATTTGAGGACTCGTGACGTCACATTAATTTTCAAAGCGCGACTTCACTCATTGTCATGACTAATGGTACTGAATCAGTACAACTGAACTCACTTTCAAGATTTCGTACGAGTTCCTCGTTAGAGCGACCGCTGCTTCGCCATGCCATTCTGCTGTCAGAGAAAGGTGCTTCAGTGGTACGTTGTTTCAGACGACGAAAAACGTTGATCGCTTGCTGTAACGTAACACGCTGCTGCTCGGGCATAAACGTGGTAGCAGTGGCGATTGTTACTATCAGTACAGTTTGTACTAGAATTGCACGTCGCCACTGGTAGATTTGCCTGAATGAGCTGGTCAGGCATCGTCGTATTGGCATCATTTGCGGTTTCGTTGGGTTCGGGAAATTTGCCTTGTACCCACAATCACTGAACGAGAATTTTATCATGGTGATCGAAGCGGCCGCGCTGTCCAACTAAGCGATAGAGTGGCGCTATTTCACGGAAATCGGAAAGTACTGCTGGGATTCAGTCATTCACTGTGACATGCGCCCGGTATGGAACAAGTTTAGGGTCAAACGGGAAGGTGCGGCTTCGCGCGCTTTCTACACAACGTCGCTTAGGCTGGTGTCAGAGTCCGCGATGCGTATCGCGCGACGGATCACAGAAATCACAAGTGCCCGATCAATACTGCGAGGTGCTCTCCAATCCCGCCGCCATTTCTGCTTGATGGTGATGGTTGAATGACGACTGTTCATGATTCTACTTGTTTCATATTCAGTGTTTCAAATGTTCAAATGGGCACTTGCGATTTTTGCGATCGCGCGAATCGCGCGGCGAATCGCGGACTCTGACACCAACCTTAGACATGTTTTCCTATCTCCGACCCTAACACCTGAAGGGCTACCCCTAACGACGAACGGAGCTGTTGAGTGATGGTTACTGATACCGCTACATTGCAATTTGCCCAACCCTTGCCTTTCAGTATCTTCTGAAATTTGCAGTCGGAACTCTTCTAGGAAGGTGAATTGCTTGTTCTCTTGTCGCAACCTACACATAACCCTAGACATTTTCTATTTTAGATTTACATGTGATAGGATGTAGCGCATGTCACAGCGTTACTGAACCAAGAACACGACCATGAGTCAGTCAAAGGTCGGGCTGGGTTAGGACAAAGATCCCGCCACTCATAGATTAAAGCGTCATCGTTGATTCGATGATCGGATTTCCTTGCCGACACCCGATTTGCTGCATACCAGAGAAGGCTGGAATATGCTAATAAGGGTTTGAAACCAGTCAGTACCATGCTATCGCTTTCATCGTTCGTCATCGGCAACCGAACATGATATTTCTCATCTGAGGAAAAATGGAGCTTTCACAGAAACCAATCTCGTGAGAGTGCTCGCCCTGATACTTCACTAATGCCTAATGCGTTCATCTAATTCTCAGTGAAATTTTCATCTAAAGGATTCCCAGAAGGAAGCTCTTCTAAGCTCATTTTGTCCCACGTCTTGCGCTATTGTTCACAAGATTCACAGGGGTAATGTGAAGCAAACCAAGTCGATACGGATTACAGCTCATCCCCTGGTGATGGTTTTTGATATATGAGAATGGAAACCAAAGGACAGTTACCTGGCTTCCCAATCTTATAATCTTTGAGTTGCTATCGCAGGAGAAAAGCAAAATTAAGCAACTTGACTTCTAATCTTTGCTGTTTTCACATAAGTTATGAAAATTGTAGGCTACAATTTTTTCCTCTATTACCACACTAATTTAATTTTAGAATAACAAACTTCATCTTCATCTTCACCACTTATTGAACCACGTTCATCCTCTTCAATACAGCAGCGACACATTGAGTACAACACCGCACCCTGGAATCGCGCTAAACTAAGCGCACTAAATGATGGCTTATTGATTGACGCGCTTCTGCAAAAGCTCTGTCGTTATTTACCTGTACTTCTAGCTTTGTAAAGTAGGTGGCTACAGTAGTTGCGCCTTCACCAGAGTAAACAGACACAAAGGATAAGGCTCTATTTACGTGAAAAGCTCCCTAGGTTTTGAGGCTGCTCTCATACAGCCCTATACACGGAGGCGTACAAAGAACGGATATCGAATAGGCGCGCAAAATCAATATCCTCTCAAGGAAATAGGGATATGGAAAGTGGCTGAATTATAAGCAGATCACTGCAAGTTCTCGGAACACACTTCTAATTTTTAGAGCTTGGTGTCCACCGAGGAGGGGGGGGGGGTGAATCAGTTTATGCCAGGTGCCCCTACCAAGAAACAGCTTGCTCTACCTTATCCTCCTAAGGACTAGGCCTTAAGGCAGACTAATGAAAAGGGACCTGTGTAAGCAATTTCATTTCCGCGCGAGGTCCTTTCCCCTCCCCTACTGCTCATGCCCAACGATCACCTATGATACCACGCGCGTATATCACCCAGCCCGCTAATTTCATCCTACCCAGCCTGATCTCCAACCTTTGAGCAACAGAATCTTCAACGATAAGGAATTCAACAGCATTCACCTTATACTCTCTCTATATCGTTATGGGTTCAAATACAAACAGGGTTTTCTGACCCTGTGAATATCTATGAGCACTTGTGATAAATAAATCAACATTTATTAAAACAAATAACAACATTTTCAAACCTATCTAACTACAAATTTAGTAAGCTATAACAATCTTTTGTTAGTAATTAAAGGAAATTCCATCTATAATTCTGCTATAGCCCATTTTTTCGCCTCGTGAAAAACGCGTTTAGTGCGAAAAATTGGCAGCATCATGCTGAGTTTCTAACTCGTGCGCGCCGTCGGCAAAATGACATTTATGAAAGCACAAGGCGATGACGAACCATGTGACTCATTAGGTTCTCTACGAAACGCACAAAGAATACGAAGTTCTCAAAACAAGGATAGAAGAAACATATAAATATGTAAAGCATACAATCTAAGAAACCAACCACAGACTACGACGAAACCGCACAAAATGCTGCTTAAACCAACCAGGCTCAATCCGCATTTGATTGACAATCGAAATGAAAAAGAGCTTGCTAGTAAATAAATCCCAAAGTCGAACTGATAGTAGGCGGTTTGTTAAGAGAACAGGGATAACCCTGTGAATACCTCATTGAGCCGGTGTGCTGTAATGTGCTGTGCTTGAAGATATGTGGGAGCCCGTAGAATCTGTTCTATCAATCGCAATGGCATCCTGAAAAATCGATAGTCTATTTTACACTATTACTATTTATGACTAGGTTTGAGGATAATGTGGTCAGCAGTGGGCTGCAGTCGTCTAACGAGCGATTTGTTGGGCTTGGCCATTCTTTTTTATCAAATTGTAAAAGCTAACCATCCCAAAACATCAGCCCTAGACTTGAATCGATTGCGCTGACAGGAGATTTCTTTGTGAAGTTCCTTCTAGAGCGCAAATCATGTGTGGCTGGCTCTATCACTCCCTAATTCAAACATTCATCATCACTCACACATTCGAATTGATCTGCGCCGCTCATGAAATCGGAGACTTTCCGTCGACGCGTGCGACTGGGTGGCTGGCCGGCTGGCTAGCTGTTACGCCAGCCAGCCAACCAGTCAGCCACAGCCGCACCACCATTGAATGGAGGCGTTTCGATATGAAACAATATAACGGCTGAATCGACACATTCTCGAACGGCTCGATCGACCTATCATTTCTCTATAGCTTCAATATTGATGTCCTCGTGCTTTATTTTTTGGTATTGAAATTTTATTTTTTTCTTCGATAAGTCGTCCTTTAAATGTGAGCCAGTACAGGTCATAAGCAAAAATGCCGTGAGAAAATTGATATCCAATTTCCACTCGTTACGCAATTAAAGCGCAGTAATGGCCATGACAATCAGCACCTATGATGGAAGGCTGCCTTCCATTTAAATGACAGATAGATCGCTGCAAATCCATCACAAAAAAGCGGACAGCATCGAATCCATCACAAAAAAACTATCTTTCAAGACAACCCCGGACAATAGCAGTGACAAGCTTTTTCAGATTTTCATGTCGCCCTTGTCGCATCCAAAAACCGGACTTATACAGTAAGCCTCAAATTTCAAAAGGGTTAAATAGGGCATGTAGATCCCTCTATATAAACTTATATAATGCTTAATTATGGAGCAGTTCGTAAAAGGGGGTAACATTGAAGCCGTAGAATCGATAGGCCACTACCAAATGTACGTAGATACAATGAGTGCTTTTGATTCCTGAGTAAACTCTAAGTAAAAGTTCAAGAAAGGTGCATAAGGAGTAAGCGTCATGGACCTTACAGACCCGTTCTGGTTTCCCTCGTCAGAGCTCAGAGTCCCTTTCTTCTTGTAATGCTGTGCTGTTCCCTCCTCC